AAACTTATTTAAAGCTTTATGTCAGAATTGCTACGGGCCTAATGGGGTGGACTGTGTCTTCACCCCATCTGGCAAAATTTGGATTGATAGTGAATGCAGCTGTATTGCCTGGTGGTCAAGATAGCCTACTAGTTCTAAACCTACATATCCTTACTCTGTGTAAAGGGGAATGAGCTGAAAGGAGGCACGAGCTAGACTGGTAATACTCCTGGCAATCCAGACCAGCGCAGTGGCTAAGCCTAACAACTCTTCCAAAGGTGGAAATGTTTAGGTAAAAAATTATGACAAGTGAAAAATAGGAGAAATAGCCAAGGCATGGGAATAAATAAATGAATTAGATAATGAGGAAAAGCTAGTATTACATTGGTGCTTTGAGAGAGGCTCAGAGCAAGAGACAGTTGTCTCTTAGCTTAATTATACTAGATGCCCAAAAAGGTGAAGTCCGTTTTCTAAGACAAGTCCTGCTCTTAGAACCTGAAAAGGTTGAATGAAAGCCTGTGAACTTGAGTGCTCAGGAAGAATTTCTGGTCATATGATATAATGATGAACTGGACCAATTAATTGTTAATACCACAGTGGAACTCTAGTAACAGGCTGTTATCTTTTGATTCTGATTTTTCAGGTTACGTCTACTACAATACTGCGGATACAGTATAACACTGGCGCTGTTGGTATGGTTCTTCTTCCTATGTAAGTAAGTCATATGATGATGATCAAATGTATTGGAAAATTGAATCACAGTCTCATTACACAGTATGTAATATCAATGAAAAGTGGGCTGAGTAAGAACTGGATCTACTTAATTATGAGTTTATTTCTATGCTGAGTATGTATGTATAAGTTTGTCAAAAGGTATAAATAGCAGAACATTAAAATAGGAGATAATCATACTAGTTAAAAACTATGAAAATGTCTAATGGCTTTATAGGACTGATTAGTTGTTTCATTAAATCTATTCCTACCCCACACTTGCTCCTCAAAATTTTAGGCATCATATTGACACTATCGCTATGTCATTTATAAGAATGCTATACTAAATGTAGATGCTTAGACATATATGATAGTTTTGCTGTAGGAGAGCCTAGGCCACGTGACCATGGGTAGCCTGTGTGTAAATGATTAACTCAGCAGGCCTGGGTTGTCCAAATGCTGTACATTGTAAAGAATGGTCTGGACCTTGCTAAACTCCTGGGAGATAACCTCTGAGACCTCGGAATACGTTGCCTCGTAAGAGTATCTTTGTCTACCTGGGACCTTGGGCTATGTCAGACAGTTTATGCTAACAATTGATTTATTGTGGTGGTAGTGGTAGAGGCCTTGGACACACAGTATCAATTTTGACCCCTGGAAATTCCAGAGACTAACTGAGGTCAGCCATGTGGGCACTGCATGTAGATATAAACAACCTGTAGTAGGAACCAGTGACACCAAAGTTGGATGATTAGCAGCACTTCATATTATCTCACGTTACGGCTGGGAGAATTAAGTGCTGTTAATTAAGACTCCATAGGGAGAAAACAACTGGAAGCTTGTGCTTGGTCTCATCTGGACTCTGCCACATGGCAAGGGCCGCCGACCCCAAGGCTGTGGACCACTACTGGTCTGTGGCCCATTAGAAACTAGGCTACACAGCAGCAGGTGGGCAGTGGGCGAGCGAGCATTACCACCTGAGCTCTGCCTCCAGTCATATCAGCGGCAGCATTAGATTCTCATAGGAGCACAAGCCCTGTTGTGTGTGTGCAAGGCATCTAGGTTGTGCGCTCCTCATGAGAATCTAATGCCTGTTGCTCTGAAGTGGGATGGTTTCATTCCAAAACCATCCCCCCACATCTGTGGAAAAATTGTCCACATCTGTGGAAAAACTGTCTTCCCCGAAACTGGTCCCTGGTGCCAAAATGGTTGGGGACCGCTGCTATACGCCATTTACTTTTGCTGATTTTAATCTGTGTCCTTTCAGTGTAATAAACCATAACCATGAGTATAATGGCTTCTCTGAGTTCTGCGAGTCCTTGTAGCAAAGCGTTGAACATGAGTTATCTTGAGGACCCCTGACCATAGTCATAAACTGTTTGCTTTTATGACTATAAATTAATGCAACTCTTTTTGGATGAAAATTTGACAGTATCCTTATACCAGAAATTCTAGGAATGTACCCCTAAAATATATATGTATATATGCATTAGGCCACACATAAAAGGGTATTTATGCAGTTCTGTCAGAGCGGATGATTGGAAACACCTAAAATTCATCAATAAGGTACCAGTTAAGGAAATTCTCATTCATCTATTTAATGAAATCTGACATACCAGTTTATAAAAAGGAGATTAATATATGCAAACTGATACAGAAAGACTTTCAAGATAGATGGCTGTGTAAGACAGAGTTAATTTATAGCTGGACTGGAAAAGCTCTATTTTTACCTCTGGGGAATTCTGGCTGTCCAGCTTGGACTCTTGGCCAAGATAAGAAGAGTAAGATTAATGATACGCTGTTTACTGTCTGAAACTCCCCCTGATAACCCCACATGGCCAGTTTGTTTACTGATGGTTTTCATTTGGCAGAATCAGGAAGACAGCCTGATTTGATGTCAGGACTAGAGGGTCCTAAAAACCCAGATAGGAACTTTGGCCTTGAGGTCTTCTGAAGCTAAGATGAATCACATAGATCTTAGTGTTTCAATCTGAAGACAGGTAGTCTATGTGTGAATAAGGCCGCTGGAAAGCTAGCACCTGGGTCCTCATGTTTACCACATTATCTTTCTCTCGCTGCACCATATCCTCTGCCTTTAAATAAAAGCCACACTTAAGAATGCTCTGTGGAGTCTTATAAGTCCTTTCAAATATCTAATTTGTAAAATCTTTGCAATAGTCGGGTGACAAAAGCAAGGTCTATCACAATATGTAAAACAATGGGAAGTAAGCTTTCTGAAATGCTAGCAAGCAAAGTGGAAAAAGCCATCAAGGACATGTGGGAGAAGATTCTGATTCTCCTACACAGGGATGTATTGCAGTGGGTGTTCTAGTTGGCTTAAGAACCAGTGGAATTTGCAAAACCTTCAGGGACACAGACTGAAAATAAAAGAGTGGTAGGATAGCCCCAAATGAAGCTTTTATCCAGTCTGACTCTACCTTGCACAGATAATGTCACCAATAGCTGTGTGACGTCATGACTCTGGGGATCTTGGGAAATGTATGCTTAGGGAGGCTGCATCTGTACCCGTACTGTGAGGTGACTGCACCTTCACCAGAATGGAGGCTGGGTTCACAGAACGCAAAGCCTATTTATCACATGAGATATCTGAAAGATGGCACCATAAACTCTAGCCACTCTTAAAAAAGTATTTGGTTAGAAAATATATTTATAATTTCAATAGAAGAGGCCAGAAACGCAGCTGCCCTCATCTGAACCTCAAGAGTAACAGTGGGGGATTGCCAAGCAAACAAGGAGAGTCGAAACTCTCCCCACTCTCAACTTCTGATGGTGACTCCTATGATGGAGGGCAAAATGAAGGCTGAGAGTGAGGGCTAGGAAACGTAAGGAACAGAAAGCTGTGGCAAGGATGTGACAGAAGGGTTTTCTAGTTAGATGAGGTGGAACTAAGCTGAGTGGAACCATCACATGGGGCTGGAAGTGACACTAAGTAGCATTGGCAGGATGGGTGTTGCTTTCCTCTTCCTTTTGGGCCTCTTCTGCTCTCATTCTCTCATCACTGCTACTGCAGAGAAATTAGGGAGAAGTCACAGTAGGAGCAGTAGGGATTCTCCTTTATTGCTTCTTATGCATTCCCTCTGCCACAGATATGTCATGAGGAGGCTGGGAAACAGAACCAAAGTACAAAAGGAAAGGCTTGGGGGAAGGTTCCAATTCAGTAGCATGGCAGTGTTTTGTCTGCTTGACTTTTTAATTTCCTGCCCTGGTGCTGTAGCAAAATGAGGCAGGAGTGGGTGGTAGCAGAGGAGAGGCGGGAATGATGGCAGGACTGAAAGGAGAAAAAGGGAGAGAAAGGGACGTCCTATACTGGAGAAGATAAATATATACCCAGTTTTGAAGAGTTCTGTGTAAATACATGATGCTGTTAAGTACTATTAAGCATTAATTCTTTATTATATTTTTAACCCTGTAACTTTGGAATTCTTGAGGAAAATTAATTTTGTCCTCTGTGAACAAAAATGTATTCTTTCTTTCTCCACTCCCTCTTCTTTCTCCCCATAACTATCTATATGCCAGGTAATATATGAAGAAAATTTAGTTTTTAAGAACTCCTAGTAGTCACTATAATAAGTGTACAGTTATAAAAAGTATGTATGTGTAGTTATTTTATTCACCAATGAATGTCTGTAAGATCTCTACCAGGCAATAACATATGTTTATGTGCCTCAATCAACAAAAGGTGGAAAGTCATGGCAGTGAAAGATGATGGACAGTGGGATTTGTCATGCCTGTGCATGGACTGGAGAGATGAGGCTATAAGCTTTACCAGGGAAAGCAAAAAATAACTTTGGAAATACACACATACAGAAACATTAAAATCTATGTATATGAAAATATACACTCTTCAGTTCCATAAACATCCATTAAAGGACAAAGTAGGAAGTAGGAACAAGACAAAGGAGAGGGGCAGAAAGAGAAAATGAAAGAGGAAAAGAAATGGAAAAAAGGAAAAGGCAGAAAGAGGTAAAAAAAGATACACTAGGCCGGGCGCAGTGGCTCACGCCTGTAATCCCAGCACTTTGGGAGGCCGAGGCGGGTGGATCACAAGGTCAAGAGATCGAGACCATCCTGGTCAACATGGTGAAACCCCGTCTCTACTAAAAATACAAAAAATTAGCTGGGCATGGTGGTGTGTGCCTGTAATCCCAGCTACTCAGGAGGCTGAGGCAGGAGAATTGCCTGAACCTGGGAGGTGGAGGTTGCGGTGAGCCGAGATCGCGCCATTGCACTCCAGCCTGGGTAACAAGAGCGAAACTCCGTCTCAGAAAAAAAAAAAAAAAAGATACACTAAGGAGAAGACAGACATATAAGGAGGAGATAAGGAGAAAGAGACAGGGAGCCACAAAGAGCAGGACTACAGCTCACAGACATTCTGCATAGTCTCCATCTGTGACTTCACTCTGTGTCTGAGTTTGACTGCCTTGGACACCGTCATGCCCTTTGGAATTGTTTAGAATTAGTAAAGCTTCAGGAGCCAAATAAATGCTATAAGTGCCTCCATTTAAGCCCATGTAGCTACTGAACACTTCGAATGTGGCTGATTTCAACTCAAATGTCTGTAAATATAAATGCACGCCAGATTTCTGAAGACTTTGGACAAAAATATTTCACATTCTTATGCAGGAAGAATATGAAATATTTTGGATATATTTGGGTTAAATAAAATACATTTTTAAAGTTAATTTCGTTTTCTTCTTTTTACCTCTTTAAATGTGGTTACAAGCAAATTTATAATTACATATGTGGCTTATATTTCTGTCATAATGTACTGTTTTCTAACATTGTGAGTCTCCTCATTAAAATCAAGGTTGGCAAAGTAAGTTTGCTAATGTCTAAATCTCCCAAACTGCTACAAACATACCAATATGCTGGACTTTTTCATCGATGACTTCACAATGGTATGGCCACCGTGTTGGGCTCAGTGGACCAGAAGAAGAGACACCATATAAATCCCGTGGTTCACGAAGACGTGGCACCCATCTCCCTAGCTGATATTCTAATAGTATCTGTGTAGTCCGGGGGAAGAAGGGATCACCAAAAGAGTTGGCTGAGAAAAAGATTCAAACACAATCATGAGTGGGAAGAAGAAAAACCCCAATTCCTACAATTTTTATATAGTTCCTTTTTCCCTTTCAACACTATTTGATGTGTGGATATCTTCATAAATGTCTTATAATTCATGGCACTTTTTATAAAAGTACTAATGAAACTTTGTGATGACTGATCTTCACAATAGCTAAAAAATAGTTGTTGACCTATATACTATTCATTTATTCTAAAAGCTCACTACTACTTTAAAAACATTTGTTTCTTGCAGCTTTTCTAGCAAATCATCTACTTTGACTCTTCTTAGTCACACTATTTTTTGTCTAATGAGTGAAATACAGTGATGAACTATAACTCACTACTTACTGGAACTGTATTCTCAAGTTTTGCTAGTGAACTCAGTCACAGCTTTTTCTCACTTCTCCTTCTAGACCTACTGTGTGATACAACGCCAGGAACACAATTCACATAGACTCGCATGGGGCTATGCCAAGCAGACCATGTGCAGTGGCCTGATCTTTTTGTTGTGATACTCTGCGGCATCAGTTTGATATTGACGATCACCCCTCCGTAAGCGTGCTCCCCCTTCTTTTATGATACATTTCCTGGATTTCCACCACCCTTTTACATATTTGGTTCTCCATTTGTCTCATTGACTCCTCTTGCTTTTTCACCTCTGCAATGTGGCTTTTTGCTGAGATTTAGTTCTTGGTTATTTTTGTACAACAGCAGATACTGCAACTGGACTAGAATCAGATGGCTGGGTTCCTTCCCTTTTACCACTTTGTTTCTGTATGACTTTGTTTGGGCAAGGCAGCCTCTCGGAACATAAATCTTACCACAGGTCAATAACTAATAATACCATCTTCCCCAGCTACTTATCAGGATTGTTCTATAGCTCATTCGTCCAACAGAAGAACCAGGAAAAGGGGTCCTTACAGTGTGCAGGGAATCTGAAGGGATGAAGGAAACCACAGAAAGGTATCTCCTAATCCTGTATATAAGCCTACACGTCTCAGCCAAATCCCTAATCTATACAAGCAGACACATTCTTAGAGACTATGAAAACTTAACTGAAACTTTAACCCCCCCAACACACACACACACACGTCTCAGCTCAACCCCTGAATTACACATGTGCAAGACAGTCCCAAACCAACACAAGGAAAGCTTAAGAGAACTAAACAGAGATTTGAACCATCTATAAAGTCTCAAAATCCCTGAACTACACTGGCATAGGAGAGAACCAAATAAGCATAGCAAAGGCTTAGAGATCAGAGCTGAGATCTGAATTACTATCCACAGAAGGGGTGACAGAACTTACTGCTTAAACCTAACTGGATTGATTGCCTGCTAGAAGAAATACATTGACCTCGTCCAGAAGGACCCAGACTCTACACAACATAGCATGAATAATGGAAAACCAGGAATAGGACCAATTCTCAGGGCAAAAGGCAATCAATAAATGTCAATATCAAGATAACTCAGATACTAAAACTATCAGACAAGAACTTTAAAGGAGTCATTACGATTATACTCCATGAGGTAAAGGAAAAGCACACTTGTACTGAATTAAAAGATAAGAATTCTTGGTAAAGAAATAACCATTGCTGGGAATGCAAAGAGATATAGCCACTTTAGAAAACAGATTCGGTTTCTCAGACAGCATATATTTAGCATATAACCCAACAATACTGTTTCTAGGGACTTACCCAAGAGAAATAAAAACATGTTCACACAAGGACTTGTACAAAAAGGTTCACAGGAGCTTTATTTGTTACAGCCACAAGCTGGTAACAATTTAAATGTGCATGAATGGACGGCTAAATGGAGAAATTGTGGTCTATTCACATAATGGAATACCTCTCAATAATAAAAAGGAACAACCGACATATGCAACAATATGGATCAATCTCAAGAGTATTATGCTAAGTGAAAGAAGACAGAAAACACAAAATGTATGATTCTGTTTTGTGAAATTCTAGAAAAGCCAAATATAGGGGAGGGAAAGCAAATAACTGGTTGCCTGGAGTCAGGGGTGAAGCCTGGAAAGAGAGGATCTACTGCAGAGACACAGGAACATTTAGGGGTGATTAAATGTTTTATCTTGCTTTTGGTAATATTCTAAACAAATCAAGAAACATAAAGGGATTACTATAAATGGGCAATTCATACCAACTATGAATATGAATAGATAATAAGCCTATGGAAGTAATTCTCAACTTCTCTAGCAATCCCAGAAATGCTAGTTAAAGCAGTGAGTTATCTCCTGTCTTCCAATAGCTTGGCAAAATTTTAAAAACAGAAAAGGGCAGCAGGGAAAAGTCTATAAAACAGTATTATAAAATGTCTATGTCTATGGGTATAGATATGTGTATATGCAAAGAAGTTCTAGAATGACACACACCAAACTGAGAATGGTGGTTATCTCAAAGAGGAAGATTTATTTTAGGATGCTGGTAAAAGAAAAAAGAAAAAAAAAAAAAAGATAAAGGACTTAACTTCAATTTCAGAGTATTTGTGATACATATGTAAACATTTAGTAGAGATATTTTAGCATTTGAAAGTACACCTCTAAGTATAAATTTTAAAAAATTAAGTATACATCAAGGTGCCCACACACGTTCAGTTGCAAATGAATGACTTTATTAAGGAGACTCTTTAGACAATATACTTCATTTAAATGAAGATGTACTTGTAACATAATCTGTCTATTATAACTTGAGTCATACAGTAAATGTATTTAAATAAATGACAATCCTTACTTTAAATATAAGAGAACCACCACTTTCACTTCTTATTTTCTAATATAAAATAAGTTTACCTAAAACAAACCTGAAAAGTTTGAGCTCTGCAAGTGGATACATTTGTTTCTCACAATCTACTAGAATAATTCCCTATATTATTCAATCTGACTTTTTAGTTTCCTCATCTTATTTTTTATCCACTCAAGGTTTTATGCTAAAAAAAACTACATGAATAAGTTCAAACCTGATAAAAGTGCACATTGATGAAGATCTTCATTTACAAATTTCATGAACATATCCTCATCCTAAAATAAGAATTTAAAAATATTTCTCTTTTAAAATCCAACAGTTTTCAAATCCAGAAATTGTTTACATCTATTTTAGTACTTGGGATTGAGTATATGTCTTTAACCTTTAATAAATGAGAAAATTAAAGAATTATTATTGGCTTTAGCCAATATTCAGGATATTTGAAGGGCCAAAGCACCCAACACTTCAAATATCCTGCACCTTAAAGTTTGCATCTTTTATTCCTCCTCTTCCAGTGGGTGTTGTCATAATAATGAATCTATGGAAGGAATAAAGTTTAAAGATTATTGGTAAACCTGGGAAAACAATTTAAGAATAAAATTGGCCGGGTGCAGTAGCTCATGCCTGTAATCCCCGTACTTTGGAAGGCTGAGGCAGGCAGATCACCTGAGGTCAGGAGCTTGAGACCAGCCTGGCTAACATGGTGAAACCCCATTTCTCCTAAAAATGCAAAAAAATTAGTTGAGTGTGGTGGCACATGCCTGTAATCCCAACTACTCAGGAGGCGGAGGCAAGTGAATCGTCTGAACCCAGGAGGCAGAGGTTGCAGTGAACCGAGATTGTGCCATTGCGCTCCAGCTTGGGCAACAAGAGCAAAACTCTGTCTCAAAATAAATAAATAAATAAAATTAACAAAAAAAACCCCCACCGAAAGCCATAAATCCTTTAAGTAGCTAAAGTAAGCTTTAAGAGCTTATTTTGGGACATTAATTTACATACATAATTTATACTTTAATAAAATTTGAAGGAAATCTCTCAGAATACGTAGTAGAAACAGACTAAAGAATTTTAAATACTACATTTCTCCCCTTTTTTTCTTCTTCCAAGTCCCTTCCTTTATGACATCAGAGCCACATTAAAATTGTTACAGTGACACAAAAAAAGGTTAGAACATGGTGGTTCTATGATGCATATTACGGTATAACATGATGGAATCAGCACATGTAAGAAAATAAGTGGACATCAATCCTAAAAATAAAACCCTACTAATAATTTCATACATGAATTTTAATAAAACCTAGAAGAATCTTAGCTAAAATATTTTCTCAAAAAAAACAAACAAACAAACATAGTTTTTCTTTCTAAACAGCGCACAGTTTTCCCAGTGATAGCTTAGCTTTTTCAGCCAAATTATTTCCCAACTTCAATGACAATAATTTAAACATCCAATTGATTTTACAATATTTTAATTGGGGTTTAATGATACAAATTTTATCTCCAAGTAAAATAAAGTTGAGAAAAACATACCGATTCGTCTTCATCACTGATTGTTCCATCTGAATAGTCTTCTTTTTCTGAATCTTCTGACATCTCTTCCAGTGTTTGACGTGAGATTTCTTGTAATATATGGGTAGGCTGTAAAACAATTTCTAAGGAACTTATTTGACAGCTTTTCAAGCTGTAGGTGTTTACTATATTAAATGAGTACTCAAAAATAAATTCAATTGTATTAAATTAATTAATTTTTTTTTTGAGATGGAGTCTTGCTCTGTCTCCCAGGTTGGAGTGCAATGGCACAATATCAGCTCACTGTAACCTCCGCCTCCCGGGTTCAAGAGATTCTCCTGCTGCAGCCTCCCAAGTAGCTGGGATTACAGGCGCCTGCCACCAGGTCCGGCTACTTTTTTTTTTTTTTTGTATTTTTAGTAGAGACGGGTTTTTTTTTTTTAACAGTCACAACAGTCTTCTCTAAAAACTAATTAGAATACAACTAATGAAACCTTCAATTTCAAAGATTTAAAGGAAATTTCCATGATTGTAAGAGACAACCACAATAAAAGACAAATCAAGTAAATAATTAAAAGGAATTTCCAGAGTATATAGCCAAATCATTCACATTCTATTATATTTACAATTATATACTAGAGAGCAAGTTCAGAATGATCCTGAGGCAAAGATAATGAATTAAAAAAATTATAGTCACTTCGTGAAATGTAGCAATGTAATTTTAAGTTTTCTCCGTAATTTTCAACTGACCAAAAGTTCAAGTGACAAGACCTTGCGTTTTGATTAATATTTTTCTATAGATACCATCTGTTCTAATATTCATTTATATTATTCTCACTCTTAGAAATTCAATAGCTACCAGAAGGTTGTATTGGTGATGACCATTACCCTTCTATGCAAGTATCTTCCCATGTAGTTACTAAGACAAGGGAATAATGGAAATTTCTTGTCAAGTTTCCATTGCTCTTGAGGGACCAAAATACTTGACAATTTCAAATCTATTGGTTTACACCCCTCTCTAAAGAAAGCCTGTGTTGGAGCGTGGAGTACATAGAAGTCCAAGCTCTGTGGCAAATTACTGCCAATGCCACGGAGCCGACTGTCTCATAGATGACACCCTCAGTCCTAAGAGACTGAAGTTTTTGCCTGGGCATCACAACTGCACATTTGGAAAACCGGACTGGCCTAAACCTCACTCCTTACAGGCGCACACGGGACACACGAAGTGTTGACCTGCGGCGGATACTCTGGCCTCAGGAGAGAGCCCTTATTCAGCCACAGTCCGCGGGTGTCTTCCACCACTGCGGAGGAGGAGCAGATGCGGGTGCGTCCACGCTTAGCCAAGTCCCAACAGTACCAAGTTCTCGGCGGGAAGCACGATAAGGCCACAACTCCCCGCAGCCGAGTTCCCTCCGGCCCTCACTCCTGGACACCGCGGTGTGGGGAGGTGCTCATTTTCCGGGGCGCGCTCGCCTTCCTTCTCCGTACCTCACTGTCCTGTTGTCCCGTCGGGGCCAGCACCTCGCTCACACCTCGAGTCCTCTGGCCAAGCCAGTAGTCGTTTCCGTGCGCTAAGAATATCTTGGAATCTCGCGGAGGACGCAGACCCAACCGCTAGAAGGAACCCCACTGCCGGAGTTCCGCAGCCCCAGCCGCGCCCCCTCCCCCCCCCCTCCTCCCCCCGCCCCTCCCCCCGCCCCTCCCCCGCCCCTCCCCCGCCCCCCCCTCCCTCCT